AGACCTCCGGGTCGTGGAACATCCAACCGGGCAGGCCGCGCGCCCGCTCGATGGGGGCGGAGACCCCCTGCAACACGGTGGCCAGGCTGTCCTGGGCGATCGGCATGGCAGTCTCTCCCGACTCGCGGCGGGCGATCCGGAGCCCGCATCCAGGACCCAAGCCTGCCGCTTATGGGAAGCGGGTCCTTGATTGGCGGCGACTTCGGCGATGGAATCTGCGACCTCCGGACCACTTTGGCGACTTTGACGCCGCGGGGCGGACGCGCGCTGTTGGTTTTCCGGGTGCGCTCTCGTACCGTCCGGACAGCGACGGTTTCGCCTTGGATTGGATCGCCCGCGCGCCGGGTCCGACGCGCGGCGCCGGAAGGTGGCGACTTGGCAGGAGTGGGCTGCGGCCTAGGTGAGAGCAGCGTGCAGGGAGATTTCCAGCGTTTCCGCCGCGGCGCGGCGGCGTGTCTCGCAGCGTTCGGCCTGACGGCCGGGCTCGTCGCGGCGCCCGCCCTGGCCGCCAGCCCGACCGACCCGCGCCCCGCCCTGGGCAGCCAGAGCGACGCGGCGCCGACCGCCGGCCCGGAGGGCGTCGACTACCGCGTCGAACTGCGCGGCGAGCTGCCGGCGCCGCTGCGCGCGCTGCTCGAGGAGGTCTCCCAGCTCGAGGAGATGCGCGACCGCCCGCCGGCGACGCGCGCCGCCCTGCGTCGGCGTGTGCAGGACGAGCGCGGTCGCTACGAGGCGGCCCTGAAATCCGCCGGCTACTATGCCTTCGCGCTGTCGAGCGACGTCGACACCGCGCAGAGCCCGGCGCTGGTCACCGTCACGGTCGAGCCGGGGCCGCAGTTCACCCTCGGCGCCTACACCATCACCTATCGCCCGCAGGTGCCGCGATCGGCCAACGACCGCGACATCCCGCAGAGTGCCGAGGATCTGGACCTGGAGTTGGGCATGCCGGCCCAGGCCGCGCCGCTGCAGGCGGCCGAGGCGCGCATCGTCACGCTGCTGACCCAGGCGGGCTACCCCTATGCCGAGATCGCCGAGGCGCGCTACCTGGCCGATCACGCCCGCAGCCAGCTCACCGCCGGTCTGACCGTGGCGACCGGCCCCCGGGTGACCTTCGGGTCGCTGACGGTGGAGGGCGCCGCCGAGGTGGAGGAGGACTACATCCGCGCCATTGCCGACTGGCCGGACGGCGAGGTCTGGGACGCCCGCGCGCTCAACGCGGTGCGCAACCGGGTGGCGGCCAGCGACCTCTTCGAGACGGTGGTGCTGGACTATCCCGAGCAGGCGCCGCCGTCGGACGGCGCCGTGCCGGTGACGCTGGTGCTGCGCGAGCGCCCGCACCGCTCCATCGGCGTCGGCGCCGCCATCACCTCCAGCGAGGAGATCGCCCGCGCCAAGCTGAGCTGGGAGCACCGCAACCTCTTCGGCGCCGGCGAGACGCTGCGGCTGGAGGCGCTCGGCTCCCTGCTGCGGCAGGAGGCGCGGGCGCTGTTCCGCCGGCCCAACTTCCTGCGCGGCGACCAGGCCCTGCTGGCCAAATCCTCCTTCCGGCACGAGGAGAGCGACGCCTTCGACGAGACCACGGCGGCCGCCTCGCTCGGCGTCGAGCGCAGCATCGGCCAAGCCTGGACCGTCAATCTCGACACCGCCATCGAGTTCTCCGAGCAGCGCGACAGCTTCGGCACAGACCGCTTCACCCTGGTCGGCCTGCCGGCCGCCGTCGCCTACGATACGCGCGACAACCTGCTGGATCCGACGCGGGGCTGGCACGTCACCCTGGGCGCCGCCCCCTGGGTCAGCGTCGGCGAGCGCAGCAGCCAGTTCCTGATCGGCGAGACCTCGGCAGCGACCTACTGGAGCCCCTTCGAGAGCGACCGCGTCGTCTTCGCCGGCCGCGCCCGGCTCGGCGCGCTCTTCTTCGAAGACTCCGCCGCCGTGCCGGCCAGCAAGCGCTTCTATGCCGGCGGCGGCGGCTCGGTGCGCGGCTACGATTTCCGCGTGATCGGGCCGCTCGACGCCGACGGCGACCCGCTCGGCGGCAAGTCGGTGGTCGAGGTCGGGCTGGAGACGCGGATCAAGGTGAGCGAGGACATCGGCGTGGTGCCCTTCCTCGACGGCGGTCAGGTCTACGAGAACACCCTGCCCGACGCCGACTTCGACTGGCAGTGGGCGGCCGGCCTGGGGCTCCGCTACTACCTGGGCATCGGGCCGGTGCGCCTCGACGTGGCGGTGCCGCTCAATCCGCGCGACGAGGACGACCGCTTCGAGTTCTATCTCTCCATCGGGCAGGCCTTCTGAGATGCCGGCGCCCCCCTTGAGAGGCGAGGCGCGGCCGGGCGGCGGCGGGCCGCCGGCGGGTCCGCCGCGCCGGTCGGCGCGGCGGTGGCTCCGGCGCGGTCTGGCGCTGCTGCTGGGTGGGCCGTTGCTGCTGGTCGCCGTCCTGCTGCTGGGGCTGCAGACCGGGCCGGGACGCGCCCTGCTGGCCGGCGTCCTGGAAGACAGCGTGCCCGGGTTGCGCATTGGCCGGCTCGCGGGCGCGCCGCCCTTCGAGGTGGTGGTGCAAGACGTGTCGCTCGCCGATGCGCAAGGGCCGTGGCTGACCCTCGACCGCGGGCGCCTGGACTGGGCGCCGACCGCGCTGCTCGGCGGCACGCTCTCGGTGACGGCGTTGGAGCTGGGCAAGCTGGAGATCGCCCGCGCTCCGGCCGCGCCGGAGACCGCGGCGCCGGCGCCCGAGGCGACGCCGCAGGCGGACCCCGGGGGCCTGCCCTTGCCGCCGCCGCTCGGCCTGCGGGTCGAGCGGTTGGAGGTGACGCGGCTGGCCCTGGGCGCGCCGCTGCTCGGCGAGCGCCTGGAGCTGGGAATCGACGGCCGGCTGGCCGCGGGCGACGGCGCGCGGATCGACTCGGCCGTGCGCGTGGTGCGCCTGGACGGGGAGGGCGAGGTGACGGCCGAGGCGGTCTACCGGCCGGCCGAGCGCAGCCTGGAGGCGGAGCTGACGGCCGCCGCGCCCCAGGGCGGTCTGGCCAGCCGACTGCTCGGTCTGCCGGGGGCGCCGCCGCTCTCCGCGCGGC